TAATTACAACTCATCATGCATATGGAACAAGCTTTTATGCATTGGATGGCAAATGTTCAGACTTCTTTTTGTGTTCTCTTCCTTTTCCAGAAAAGATCCTTCAAAGACAAATCAGTTTGGGTAAGGTCAAAATTGCTTTATCTTTTCTTCTTCTTTTCCAGCTTCTTGTTGATGAATGTTCTGTACCAAAACCAAATCAGTAAAGTCAGCATATGATTTCTTCAATTGCTGCAAACTTTGCACAAATAGGTGGTTACCAAGAAGCCTTATCGATGCATATAACCAGACTTTTTGAGGTTTTGATTTCTCCACAGCTTCTTCAAAACCCTAAGAATTTCTCTGAGGTATTGAGGTTTTAATTTTGCTTTCTAAATTCTCTTTATCTTCCTGTTGTTTGCATTTTCTACCCATGTTTTGGAATCTCTTGGTTCTTCTTGTATGTGTTCTAAACATGTTCCTACAGGTTCCTACTAATTGGGCAAGATGCTCAGTAGATTGGAATATTGATCAATGAGCATCCAGTGTGTAAAGCTAGCTATTTTCATTTCATTTTAGTGCATTTGACAAAAAAAGCATTGGTTGATATCAAACAGTGTGTAACCATAGGTTTTTTGCAAAAAAAAAAAAACATTTTTGATATCAAACAGTGTGTAACCAAAAATTATGTTTATTAATTCAACAACATGAAACCTGCATTATATGGATAGAATCTTTGAAGAACTCTACGAAAAGGCAGAAATGAAGAAAATACAGAAGGGTCATGGATAGAACCTACGAAAGAGAAGGCAAAAAGATGTAGCATTTTTTCTGTACATAAAACTTTTAGAGTTCCCTGGATGGCAACCAACACCAACCTCTCTTCTTCTTCTTTTTTTCCCCCAACTTTCAGTAATAACAATAACAATCAAAAAACAGTTCTAATCATCAAGCATGTTAAAGTTTTTCAAATGTCTTTCTCACTTACCTAAACCTTTACTCGTATGGTTGAAGAGACTTGTTCTTCACAACCTCCTCCATTTTCGTTTTCTTTCTCATAACCCCTTCAATTTTTTCTAGGATTATTGTTCATATATATATATATATATATATGTATTTCTTTCTTTCTTTAAGAGTATCTTAACAGCAGAAGAAAAGAGAGAAAGATGGGGAATGGATTTTTTGATCACTTCAAGACGGAGAAGAAGAAGAGAGAAAAGGGATAAAAGATGGATTTCTTCATCAAGAAACTGTAAAATTAAGAACACAAGCTCTCTACTTAGAGACGTCCCGTATCCAAAATCAAGAAAATGAAATTAGGGTTCCAAGGAAGCATATCTGTTAAAAAAACCCACAAAGTAAAAAAAGAAATATATAGAGATAAAAGAGTAAACGATAAATTTGGTCATGGGAAATTAAAGAAAGAAAGTAAAAGAGGGGAGAGTTTTTGGTCTTGGGAAATTAAAGAAAAAGGAAAGAAAGAAAGAAAGTGATGATAGGATAGGAAGGGTCATGATTTTGATCATTAAAATTAAGTAAAAGTTAAAACAAAGAAAGAAGAGGGATGACACAAGTGGTGTTGGAAAGCCAAAACATTTAAGGATTGGATACAAATTTCAAGATTTATAAATAAATAAAGTAAAAGGAAAATATTTGATAACCCAAAACTAGATCCTTTCAATCACAAAAACCCATGAATTTTTTGGGTTTCTTTGAGCAAAATCACGATAATGTTTTGAAATTTTACATTTTTTATTGGAAAGGAGAGGAAAAAACTTTATCAGATCAGATAAAAGAAAGCAACTTTAAACACTGGAACTGAAGATGCAAAAGAAAGAAAAAAGGGTTCGCAAATGGAAAGACCAAAGCAAGGCTCGCCGATGGTGTTTCCGAGGAACTCGAAGTCGAACTCATGGTGTTTGGGACCGTCGGATGACATCTGAACAGATTACGAATATGAACACCGTTTAGAAAATGAATCAAACACCGAACGAGCAAAATGATTTCATATTTAAACTCATCGGAATCAACTCACGTAAAATGCAGCTACAGTTCCGGCGAAATCACCTTCAACAAGCTTGATTTGAATGTTAAATTTTCCAAACATATACTTTGATTTGGACCAAAATCCAGCTCCTGAAATTCGAAACTCATGAGATATTTTAAAGATTTACTTGAATCCCATTAAATATAAACAAGTTCCGGTTAGGAAATTACCCGAACAGTTATCGAGCTTCATATTCAGTGCCTCGCC